ACTCCTTGTTCAGGTGGGAGTCTTTGGTTGAGTTGAATTAGTCAAACAGGAGTGCTAGCGAGATAATGATCTGGAGCTCCTCCGAGCTACTAAGCTCTTCTACTGAGCAGATGCTCAAATCCTCACCATCAGATGCCCCTCAGTTTAGCTCAGCATGACCCACGCGTGCCCATCATTTATTGTGATTGTCCGTTTGTATTTTGAGATGCGAAAATGTGGCTCATGCAGATGTAATTGTCAAAGAACCATTGTGGGAGTCGCCAGTATTTAAACACCTCTGGTCTATTGTGTCTATCATGTTTCAAGAACTATTAAGTGCCCAGGAAACCTCTTCTTCCTCATTCTAATTCTTTTCTCTTTCCTTTGTACTACAACTCTCAAACTAAACTACCGTTTTTGTTTCCTTCATAACCTTGACTCCTTGGCACCCTTTACAGATAGATCTACCCAAGTCTGTCTAGATTCTGTTCTTGATTATTGTTTTTCTCTTCTTACTCATAGGTCTGGTTTGTCTTCCTCCCCTAAATATATATCAACCACGATAATTTTGTGGCCATGACAATTGATTCGAAGCGTACCTTTTATGAAAACACCTCTTTGTTGGTGTCTGAGGTTGATAAGGCTAATGAGGACTCCGACTCTTTACTAGAGATCGCCTTTTCGTCAATTAAGATTGCGTGGGACGAAGAAGATCTCAAGTTCTCTTGACAAGGGCATTTTGAAAGAAATTAGGGCTCTTTATCAGATTCCCAAGTCAATCTAACTTCAATTCATTTCTCCTAATGAAACCATTTATTCTTTTGGTCCTAATAAACTCTGCTTCTATGAATCCATCTTTGTGGTTGGGCTTCGCTTTTCCATGCCTCAATACATTAGGGAAACCCTTCAATACCTAAATCTCGCCCCTTCCTAATTAATTCTGAACATTTGGGTGGTTCTTAGTTGGCATTGGTGCTCACCCAACTATCCCTGAGCTTCTTCACTACTACAAACTTACCTCGTGCTCGGGACAAAGCTTGGGGTGGTATTATCTTTCGAAGCTAGAGAGGACCGATCTCTTAACAAGATATTCCTTTAATGTGAAGGAATGGAAGGACAAGTTCTTTTTCGTATCTAGGTCTGACTGGAAATTTGGGCCTTCAGAGGTCATTTCCAGTAGTGCCATCATGGTTCGTTGTTTGTGGGGATCCCCTCCTCATTCTCTTCGTATGTGTTACATTTCTTACACATTGTGTTATTTTGCTAAAATCCATCCCTTTATGCAAGGCTAGTCTGACTTTTTGCCGCCCAAGCTCAAGCTACAAGTTGACAAAAACTTTAGGCTGCTAAATCTATCATTTTTGCTTGGTTGGTCGCATTTTGTCCCCTCTTCTTGCCTATCCTCCTGGCACTTACAAGTATAGAGATTGTCTTATGCATTCAAATAACTCTGTGCTCTTGAGAGCAGCTCAGTCATGCTCAGGCGTGAATCTTTTCATAGGGAAAAGAGGAACTGGGAGGGTTAGAGTCCTCCCATGAAAGCTGTGAGTGCCACTTTATCATGCTCGTTGCCAATCTAGAGGGACTCTATGGTGACAAAGCTTTTGAATGATTCATTTCTCATCTATTTCACATTTAGGAGGTAAGTGGAGGGGGCTTTTTATGTGTTCTCCCTCCAATGAAGTACTGAGCTATGGAAAATAGTCAATTTATTTCGGAAGAATATAGTTTGAAACATCATGAGTGAAGGGTGACTCTGTGCGTTGTACTAAAACCTTCACTGCTTCAGAAACTCAAGTTATCACGGTATTAATGACATTGCCAAGCTTGTCGTTGACCTCTTGGAATTTTGTTCCCATTGGTCATTGACTTGTGGACGAGTCACCTCGTTTTGTCTTTGTCTTTTGTTTTGTTGGTTCTGAACGATGTTCTTGAATCTAAGACAAATTCCTTTATAGGGTTATTGAGTGGTGAGTAGTTGTAGGATTTTTCGATTCTATTGAATAGCTTCTCCACTATTTTTTTTAACTTTTTCACCCTCGTAGTTTTCTTCTCCGGTAGGTCTAGGTTTCATTGGTCAGTTGGGTGTGTCCTTGGTTGTTCATTCTTACAAGTTTAGTCTTTGGATGGATCCTTTGACCAGGTGATGGCCATTAATTCTATAGAACTTGAAGATGGAAAACTTTGTGTTTCCCATAGACGATGTCAACTGATACTATCAAAAATTGACCACCAAGCTTCAGGAAGGTTGCTGACCAAATTCACCTTATGACTGACTAAAGGGATACCTAAAAAAACAAGTCGAAGACAAGAGAGGCTCCAAGGATCAACCCTCTGATGCCTAAGTTAAAAAAAATGAATGAGAAAATTTGTTTATTAAATGGAGCTTAGATCACTTACATGTTCCTTTTCTTGTCCTCTTCTTATATAGCCCATTATGTTACCATTGGGGATGCCTATCTCCAAATTTGAATTGGCATTGACCCCAAGTTACTAGTGTTTTAATTGAGATGGACTCCTTGCTCAAGTGGGAGTCTTTAGTTGAGCTGAATTAGTCAAACAATAGTGTTGGCGAGTTGGCAATCTAGAGCTCCTTCGAGCAACGGAGCCCCTTTATCGAGCACGTGCTCAAATCCTCACCCATGAGGTCTTAATCATGAATTGAGTTGATACAAAATAGAAAATTAATTATTTTAGACAAATATAAAATATTCTTAATTAAGTTAAGATCTTAACAAATCAATAAACTAAAATTAAAGAAAAAAAATGTTAACTCTGGTCCTACATCGTTTATGCACAACAAAAGATTACCCCATGATATTGTAAATCAAGCTTATACCAATTTGATATAGATACCTACTTTTCCAAAATAAGATATTCTTAAGAGAAAACCATGAAACTTAATACATAAATGTGTGGCATGTAATTATTTTAAACCAGTTCTTCAAATCTTATTTTCAAATCAACCAAATTAATTGGGTATTTAAAAAAATATATTTTCTAGCTAACTAATTGAAGTTATAAATTAACCAAGCTATTTACAGTTGTATAAAATATATCATCGGAATAATATGAACAGATTCAAATTCCGAAATTAAAAGATTATTTTTCTAATTATTGTTATTTCAAAATTTAATTTTCCAATATAAATAACCATGTTCTACCTTAATTTTGATATTCAACTTCCTCTTCTCTGGGATTCAATCTCAAATTTATCAAGAATAATTACTTTCTACACCTAAGTATATTTTCGAAGTCGAAGCACAAATCTCCTTGGTTCATTCGTGTGACCACTCCTATCATTCCCAAGATGCCACGTGGATCATTTGTATAGGGGTGAAGAGGTGGTGGCTCGGGTGGGCTGAAGGTGTCATGGATGCCAAAGTTGGATGAGGGGTAGGAGACATGGAGGGGTGTGATGGTGCCCCTTATTATTTTATATATTGTTCATTTAATATACCATTACTATTTTGAGTTCTTGGAAGCTGGTACGCTAAATTAGACATAATTGTAAAAAGATACATAGAAAAAATGTGTTATAAAAAGTACACTACTAAGATATAAAGACTAAACTGCTAATTTCCTAAAATTTACTTTCCTAAAACGGTTTTAGGAATATATCTTAATCAATTAATTAGATACACAATGATATTAGTTAATCACAGAAATTTAAGAATATTTATTTGCGAAGCAGTTTATCTTCGGAAAACGTTTGGGTTTTTCTTCCTTTCTAAAAATCACTTTATCTTCCTCAACGATAAACCCTAAAATTGTTCCCTGAACATCTATAGGGTTTTGTCTTTGAAGTAAAAATCCTACTGTTCAACCCATTTGATGTAAGATTGTCAACAACATCTATTTTTTTAAGATTTGTTCGTCATTTGAAGATATATACGAACTTCGACATTTGAAGACCAAAACCAATTGTTGAAAGTTGATTGTTGGGCTGTGTGAAATATGATGTTTCTGTCATGTGTTTCTGCCATATTAATTCATTGTGTGTGAATAAACTGTGTGTATCTTTTAACTGCTGACTGTGTTTCTCTCATTGTATAACAAAAAACTGTGTAATAATACACTGTAACAAAACAGTGTTAAGTAGTTTTGTGGATGTAATAACAAATTCAAAATAGGAAATGGACTGTTTGAATGAAATTATATGTAAATATATATTTGACAAAATGTAATAGTATAATATTTTTTGTGCAAGTGTCTTGTTACACTGTTATTGTATTCACATATTAAAAAAATAGAATAATCACCTTTAAAATGATAGATATAAACCTAATTGAGCCATAACTTCAAATATTGTAATTGCTTAGATTGAATGATAAAAATAAAATAATGTTTTCAGACTTGCACTAATAAATGACTTTCAGGCCAAAGAAGAAGAAGATAACAAAAAATATTGTTACAAAATTTAAAATTCAAATCAACTGATTTATCATCAAAATAAACGGAAGAATCAAAGAATAAAATCTTCTATTAAATTAAGAGATTTTTAATGCATACATTTATCCTAAAAATAAACGGAATGATCAAATCTTCCATTACATTAGGAGATTTTTAATACATACATATAATCTGGAAAAAAAAAATCAGTTTCCAAAAATAAATCGCATGAATTAAAGGAGGACACAAATATAAAAAAAAAATCTAAAAATTTCAAATTATTTACTTGGACACAAATAAAAACTAAAATTGAGAATTTTTTCTTTTCTATTTTTTTATAATTAATTCTAATTTGACGTACCTTCAAAATTTACCGTTTTATTAATGAAACGAACTAAAAAAGTTGGCTGGGTTTGGACCTGGTCAATGATACAATTCTAGTCCAGACACCTGGGCCGGGCCTATCTTTGGGCCAGAATCTCCTAACCTGGTTCAGGCCTATCCCTATCCCTATCCCTTTGATCCTCCCTTCCGAAAACCTCTCCAAAAGTAGTGGATAACCCCTCTGCACTTCACAGCTCTCTCTCTTTCTCTCTCTCGAGCGCGCTGGCGCGCGCGCACACAGAACAATGTCATCACTTGGCCTCTGGTGCACATCGATTTCTCTCTCTACAACTCTCTCACTCCTATCCCCAATTTCTAGGTACCCTCCATCCTCCTCTCTCTCTCCTCCACCCACTCTCTCGCTCTACACTCCCTCCATATCTATCACCACCTCCTCCTCCTTCTTCTCTCCCCACAGCCAAAACCTTAACCGCTGGCATTCCCTTCCATCAGACGGTGATTTCTCCGGCGAAGAAAACCCTGACAATGGAGAATTTCACGGAATTCAAGATGTTGAGGAGTCTTTTGAGGTAGAAGAAACTATCGACGAAAATTTCGATGTTGAAGCCTTTGAAAAGGAAGCCAAAGATGCCGCTCAAGATTATATTATTTCTTTATCTCGAGAATTGGCAGTTGGTGCGTTTTCACTGACATCTTCTATTAACAGTTCTTTATCACGAGATGTATGTGAATTCTGGCATTATTCGAATGTATAGAATTCTAATTTTTGGTGCTTTCTATTTTCTATACTAGTTTTCCATCACGACCAAACAAGGATTCATGAATTTCACATAGTTTATTTTCTTTTCCTTTCTGATTTTCGTGTAACGAACAAAGCTTAACGTGATCTGCCCTAATGGTGTACATCTACTATATCCAAAGACCACCACCTCTCACAATAGGGATCGAGATAAACAAAAATTTAAACATTAACCCAATCAGTCACAAGTTGGACATTGATATGGAAGGAAATTATCTGAATTGAACTAAAGAATGTAATGGTTGTCAGGATTGTTGCAGTCCAACTTGCATGGATGACACATTGTGCAGAATTTGGGAGACTGGTTTTGCCGAAGTTGTGGGGAATGGCTTCGCAAACTGTTTGAGACTGTGATGGAACAGTGGAAAGGCTTAGCAGTGAAGGGTCGATTGCCTTGATATGACGTAAAGTTTTAAATAATGAGAGAGAAAACTATTAAAATGGAAGAATACAATAACAAGAAACTTTAACATGGTTCACCCTAATGGGCCACATGCACCGACTAAATGTCCATTAGGTCTACTTCTTATTATTGATTCTTGTTACTCCGTACACATGAGTTATACCCTCTATATATACACACACATCGAAGATACAATCACCATCGATCACAATATTTTTACCAAACCACTTAAATCATATGCATTCATGAAATTGAAGCGGATGATGGGAATGATCAAGATTGAAAAGTTTGGTTCAAGGGAAGTTGTTGGAGTTTGACCCAAACTCTCAAATTGTTTTATTCTTTATTTATTTGGTATTAGTTTTTAATTAGACTTTTAATGGGTTTAAGTGTTTTGACCCATAAAGTGTTCTAGTTAGTTTGGTGTAGTTTAATTAAAGTTATAATAGGATTGGTTTATTAGTTTTTTAATAGGTTAGATGTCTTTAAAATTTAAAAAAGTCTTGATTTCCATTTGGAGAAGGAGAAAGAAAAAAAAAGAATATGATGGTGTTTTACCACGTGAAACAACACCTAAAACTAATAAAACTGAAATAAAACTATCCTCAACGGCTTATTAATACTTGACTAACAAAAAATAAGATTAAGATTCAATCCTCAACTTAATGTCAATTGTTCCAAAATTTGCTCCTTGCTAAGTTCCAAATTATCCTCCTTGTGCCCATGTTCCTCATCATCCTCGTCCTCTTCCTTCCTTAAGGAGTCGTAACTCATGAAGCCTTAATAGCTTAGTTTAATCGGCCAAGTTTGGCCTTGTTGAAAATAGTTGGTCAAGTAAATGATAGCTGTAATCTAATTTTGTGCCTCATTAACTGTCAACTCAAGCTTGTACTTCACTTGATGATCATAAATGGCTCTACAATTGTGTAGACACTGTATTTTTTTGAGTTTGAATAAGGATTGGCTTGAATAGAAGCATTTTCAGCATCTTTTGTTGCATAAGGTAGAATATCTTAATCCTAGTCTAAAGCTTGCTAATATTTTAAGCCTCTGCTAGCTCTCCACTCAACTTGGATGGGCTCATTTGCAACTTTCACATGTCAGCATTTACTCATTAAATGTAAGTTTATAGTCTGCAACTCTTAAATTCAGCTAGATCGATTGAGAACTCGAATTAGATTCTCTTACTTGGCACTTGTTACCTCAATACTCATTGAAAACACATATAACCTTCTGTAAAAGTGCATTCGACTAAAATTTCAAAAGAATCATAATTTTTCTTGCGCTGTGCAGAAGTGTACACCATGTTACTTCCACTTTACACTGCATGGATGACTTAACATTCGAAACGAGTTATTGTGCTGCTCACTGAAGAATAGTTATTTTTTTGAGTATTTTTTTTGAAATAACCTTCTGTTGCAGGGATATACTTTTTGTGGTGATGTTTTCTTTGGTTTCCCCTGTTTTGTCCCTTGAATGTGGCCATTTTGATGGTTCATTGATTTTTATTTTGAAGAACATGCTGAAGATTCTTTTCATTTTTTCCCTCATGTTTAAACTTACAAATCATATCGTTGTCGTTGGAGGGTTTAGTTCATGGGAAATTGGCTGGCTTCTTTATTTATAACTTTATTTTATTATGAAGCTCTCCTTTTGTTGTCCAACTTGGTTTAAATTACACTTTCCATAATCTGATGATTTCAGAAGATGAAACAAGTGGTCGAAAGGAAACACGTGGAAAGCAGAAGAGGCGTAAAAGTTTTACTAAAAATGTTAGTAAGCGTCTATCCTCTGGTCATTCTCTCTTAATTTGTGGGGTCTTGATGTTTTCTTATCGTCTTATCCTTTCTCTCCCATTATTGGACAAGAGTGGTAAAGAAAAAAGAAAAAAGAAAAAAGAAAAAAAATTGCATGAGCCTGAGGTTATCCAAAAAAAATGTGTATGCATAGAGTAGACACAAAGGTCCACCTGAGGTCGATGGACTTTCAGATTGAGAAGCATTACCCAAGTCAGCCTTAGTGTTGTGTCTCCATTGTGATTTTGAGCACAATTCCGCATCAATCTCTTGTATCAAATTGCTTTGACTTGTGAGAATCAAAATGCCAGACATACAATAAATTTCCTGTTTCTTTGCTTTGAGGTTACAAACAAAGCATCACATGAAGGTTAATTTTTTGCAATTACTATAGATAACCTTGGAAAGTAGGGCTATTTGTTTTTATAAAAAAAAAAAGATGCAAGAGGGTGGCATTTTTAATATAAATGGATGAACTTGATGCATGTAACTCACTTTCTCTAGGGTTTTGTTGCATTAAATTATGTTAGAAGTTGGGACTTGGGACTATGATTTGAATACTAAACTTTTTGTAGCTTGTGTCGTTTGTAATGTAGTATTGTGGTGTAAGTTACTTATCAATATAAACTCTACCTGCAGATCTCTGATCATCTTCTTCCGAAGGTTGCAATTGTTGGAAGGCCAAATGTTGGTAAATCAGCACTTTTTAATCGCCTTGTTGGGGTATCAAATCATCATCTTTTTTTCCTTTTTGCTACTTTATCGAACTACTCAAACATATTAACTTGCAATATGCGGGAAATAAGGATGATTTCAAATTTCTACATAAGCTCACAATCCAAGATCCTTTATTTCGAAAATTTAGTTTTATTCATGTTAGTTATTATTGTATGATTGTCATTTTGTACTTCAGGGGAATAGGGCCATTGTGGTTGATGAACCTGGGGTTACCAGAGATCGCTTATATGGTAGATCCTTCTGGGGAGACAATGAATTTATGGTAGTAGATACCGGAGGAGTTCTTACAATTTCAAAGTCACAGGTTGATGTCGTGGAAGAATTGGCAATATCAACAACCATTGGCATGGAGGGGATTCCACTTGCATCCAGAGAGGCTGCTGCTGCCAGGATGCCATCAATGATTGAAAGACAAGCTACTGTAGCTGTAGAAGAGTCATCAGTAATCATATTCCTTGTGGATGGCCAGGTATTTCCAAATGTCCAATTGAGTAGCTTGTGTATAGATTACTCTTATGCAAATTTGTTTGTTTTGTTTTCAATGATTTGGCCGACTCTGTGCTCGAATACAAGTGTGAGGAAACACTCACCTTTTTGACTCTATTGTTAAAGTCATATACAATAGTTGTGGGATACTTTGATTTTTTTTATGTGATTATGGTTATGGTGGGTGAATGCTACAGGAAGGTAGGAATGAAAATGTTTTAGGTGATAAGTAGCTGGAAATTGGGAGAATTAATTGCTAAAAATTCTTGACAGCAACTATGAGAGTGTTTTGTCTACTAAATTAAGGTTAAAAGGCTAAAAGAATGGTCAGGATGGAGGTTCTTGCTGATCTATTGAAGTTCATGAAATGATTAGGACTAGAGATGAAAATTTCAGGAGGCTGCTTTTTTCACAGCCAGAAAGTCTATATCTACAGGTCCCTCTTATGGTGCTCACATTTTGTAAATATGTCTACTGATAAGAGGATATCAGTATTGGAGCTGAAGAGGAGAGGAGCTCACACTTCCATATGATAAAACCTTAGGCCTTATTTGGAAGATAGTAATCTTAATTGGGAATGTGTATCTCATTTTGTAGTAATAAGATACCCGAATTTCAATTACCATAATAATCTCATATTCGGTGTTGGTTATTGTCAATAATTTTGTATCGGAATTGACATTTTTTTCATATTTCTTTATGAATGAACCTAATTTTAGAAAGGAAATTGATTTTAGAAAGAGAGCTCAATTTGGGGAATTAATTTAATTTTAGGAAGGATCTTGATTTTGGGATTTTTATTCCTTTCTTAGAATACCCAATCAAGATAGGTATGAGATTACCACCATTAGCAATAAGTTTAGGATACCCACAATCATTAGGAATTTGATTACAATACTAATCTTATCCCTAACTTGGATTATCAAGTAGTTGACTATCAAGACATGGTAATTTATGGATTTGGGAATGAAATTCTCGTTCCCAACTAAGATTTTTGACATTCAAATGGGGCCTTAGGGAAATTTTTGGTTTCATTGGATGGTTTTGTTGATTTATTGGGGAGCTTTGTGGTTAACAATATGCATTTATTTTTGGCTTGCCTCTTTTGCTGTGCGTATATTTGGTGTACATAGGCTGTACTAAAAAGATTATTCGCGGTTTCGGCATTGTGGACATGTAAGGTTCGCAATATGTTGTCTTTGTGATGGTGGTGATGTTGGAGACTGTTGTACACTTGCCAAAGATCTAGTGACATATGAACAGAAGATGAGTTTTGCCTGTGATGTAGCTGGATGAAGGATACAACAAATACAAATGGAAGGAATAAGAACCAAACATTAATCTCTCTTGATTTGATTTTGTATCGCTACGTTAATAGCTCCATGAAAAATGAGTAGACATCCTAGTTTTTCAGAAGTTGCTAAATGGTTTGCCATCTGCTACACGTGCTGTCCTGCAAATGATGTCCATGTCTGATGCAATGCAGATGGTGAGAAATATGGCATCTAGTTCGAACGAGATCAATCCTGTTTGAACAAAACCAAAAAGTTATCATTTGGAAGATTTTATATGTTCGGCATCTTTGTAGGAGATTCTGATTCATTTTGTTCCTAAGTAATATTTTTATACTCCAAGTCAATTAGGATTCTATTTCATTTTATTTCCTACTTGAATGAGAATTTTATTTTATTTTATATCCTAGTATAATTGGGATTTAGATTATTTTGTTTCCTAGTTTGTCTAGGGTTTTGCTTTTATAAATAATCAGTTATGGAGCCTCTGCAGATTAGCCTTTGTATTATGAATAATGTGTCGCTGAGAAATTTTCTCTTTTACCCAAATTATTTGGTGTTCTAGGAATTAACATTTTGGGGAGATTTGTTTGGTACTCTCTGGGGTAGTCAATAGGTTTAAAGTTGTAATGTTATTCAGTTTTGATCTGATCACATTCCCTAAATCAGTCAGTATCAGAACTTACGATCTTTTTTGCATCACTTCACTTTAAAGGAGTTTTGTTGGTGTGAATGCATTTCTTAACAAAGTGCATGTATGCGGTGAAATAGCTCGATTAACGAACAGGCTGATGCATATAGAGATTCAATGTGGAAACTGATCCTTGACATGTTTTATGAAAACAGAGGTACCTGATTATAACAGGTTTCCTTGGTTGCCTAATGCCTACATGTCTCGAAACTAAATCGAAGCGATCGTATTTCCTGTGACATATTGCGAAATAACAATACAAGAGGAGGGAAGCAAGGGCGGATCCACACTTGAATCAATGGGTCCCTCCCCCACCCTCAATTTTGTTTAAATGATATATAAACAATTTTATGCACTCTATCACTTTCGTATAGACTTATGTCTAAATGCTTATGAACATTTCGGGACACAATTTAGATACTTCTGATTAAGTTTGGACATCTTGCGTGCCATTTTTTTGTAATTTTTTGAACAAAAAGATGATCAGTCGTGGAACCACTCAAGGATGTGCCCACCCTCAATTTTTTTTGCCTTATCAATACATATTATATTTTTTTAAGTATATTTAATTATGCCCACCATATTATTTTCTTGTAAAATACTATTGAGACCTAATCCAATGTGGTCACTAGATTAAAAGTGGGCTCCATCTAATTTTGGAACTCATAACTAATTTGACGGTTGCATTGAATTAGGTCTCCAAATTAAATCCCTATAGCATTAGTCTATTTTCTTATCATATAAATTATTACACACTCGTACCTAAATGTCTAACATTGGACACACTTCAAATATATTTGGATTAATTTGGACATATTGGGTTCATTTTAAAATCTTTTGAACTTGATCATTTTGTTATTGACGTGTCCTTTAGCACTGAGTTTAAAAACTAGCAGAAATTTGTGATCTTGCTCACAAAATTTTAAGATAAAAAATACGTGGTATATCCTTTAGGGTACATATTTCATATTTGTGATTGTGACATTAAATTTACCGATCATTAATAATTAAATTATCAGGCAACGCCATCGAAGTATGAAAATTTTGTTGAGTCAATTGTGTAACTAGCTGCAATTAACTGTCATTTCAATAAAAATCTAATTAATCTCTTTTTTGTTGTGCACATATATGCATAGAATTTTTAAGGATCAATTGAAACAAATGGTATGAATGTATCATCTTCCTTTTATCGATTAGGATAAAACGTGTTAGAGTGTTCACACTAGAACATTTTTTTGGCTCCACCCGTGAAAATGATTCTTTGGTTTTGTATGAGAATTAGAGCCGTTGTGTAATATGGCCTTGACATAAAATTATAAAACAGTTGGACTCAAAATTTATTGGTTGCACTTTTAAGCCTAAGTTCAAGCAAGGACTAAAGTGTCGGTGCCAAAATTTAAGGACTAATTTCTTCCACACCAGGGAGAAAGATGCAGTTCGCATGATGAGAATTTTGGGGAATGGTTCGAACAATATCAATCCAGTTCGAGCGAAGCGAATCGTTTGGAAGAATTTATATTGTTGGCATCTTTTTAGGAGATTCTGGTTAATTTTGTTTTTAAGTTTTATTTCTATTTCGAAGTCAATTAGAATTCTATTTTATTTTATTTTGTAGGTCAAGTATGGAGCGCCACTTTGATTGGTTATGGGTTTGACATGCTTCAGTATAACAAGCCAGTCTTTGGGGGGCAGTTCATCTAACATTATGGACATATTAATTGAGAATCTCATGAGCCTTATGGTTAGAACAAGTGTAGCGATTTCAAACTGAACATTTATTGGAGTTGCCTCTTATATTTTCAATCAAGTACCTCTTCTACTTTTCATCTAGCTTGGATAAATCTCAAGTAGAAGGATTGAGTAATGATGCATAGCATTTTAGCGAGAGTTAACATGATTTGTAAAAGTCTTATTATTTGTGGATTTTTGTGTTTACCTTGGTTCTTTCGTCCATGGATTCTGGTGATAAGAAGCTCTAAAGATGCTTTCAAGTAAATGCAGAGATTTAAGAGTCTGAATCCTGATCTTCAATGCCATATTAGAGAAGACTTTGTCATTGAGCTCATTTGGGGTGGGGAGATGTTTTAGAAGGTTGGGATGGGGAGTGGCAGGGGTGGGGAAGCTGACCTGGTTGGGTTGCGGTTTGGGTTTACAGCTGCATTGAATGAGTACAGCTAAATATGTGAGAGTAAATCTTAACTTCTTGACTTGGAATATGGGGGGCTTGAAGATGAGGAGATTGCTGCATTGGTGGCATCACATGGAAAAAGGAAGTGATTGTCATGATGTTCAGAGTCTCAATATTTGAACCTGAAATGTTAGCTTCAGGGAATTGATGAAGGGACAGCCTTTGGTGGGCTTTGTAAAATCCTTAAAGTACCATGGGGGAGTCCAACGAGTTGCACGGGACAGTAGCCTTTAAGATAGTAAGGCTCTACTGGAATTGGAAAAGAAGATTGCTGCTTTTCTTTCCACTTTGATGTAATACTAGTCCCCTTCAAACTCCTATGCCTAAGGCTGCGAAGATGTTTTCTTTTTGATTATGTGAGTGATATGCTACCCCATGAACAATCGGACCAAGCAAGCTATTAAGCCAACTAACAAAGCCACAGGTATTTTCATGTCCTCATGATTAAAAAAGTATTGACCAAATTTGATGCAACCAGTTTACCAGTGGAATTTCAGATCTGGTTAGATCTGAATTTAATTTTGTATTTGGAATTTATGCTATTTAGTTTTATGTTTTGTTATCACTCAGCAGGTTTTTATATCAATTAATTAAGTCTTATGTGACTTTTTACTGCATGCTCTTTGAACTTGGCAGTTCTTATAATCTAGTTGTGTATTTAGATTTACTATGCCAGCTGTATCCTAGAACTTAGGGTATATTGGTGGGTCTGGTGTAATGTACTTTTGTCTTTTGTTGAATTAATATATCTGTGTTATATTATATATTTATTCTCTATATCCCTTCTAGTGTTTCTTCCAGCCCTTTTGTTTTTGCGGCACTTCCTGCTTCTCTTTGAATATGGACTACGTCAAAATTGCTTTTGGTTTTTAAAGTGAACTAGTAATTTACATTTGATTTCTTATAATGTGTTCATGGTTTTGCTTAGTTTTTTCTTCAAAATTGAGTGCAAATTTTGTTTATTACATAAAGACAATATAACAAACTCCAAACAGGCAGGTCTTACAGCAGCTGATGTGGAAATAGGGGATTGGCTACGCAAAACCTATTCACACAAGTGTATTATTCTTGCTGTGAACAAGTGTGAATCTCCACGCAAAGGGCTCATGCAAGCATCAGAATTTTGGTCGCTGGGGTGAGCTGATTCTTTCTTTAAGCTCAGCTACTTGTAAAAGCACAAATCAGTGCATCTGAGTGAGAAAATATCTTAGTCGATTGATAATACTATTGAAGTATAAATACTTAAGTTACACACTCTCCAGAAGCTTTTTGAGTAGATGATTGTTTAACAAGGTATCAAAATAGGAGGTCCCTAATTATTAAAAAGATTTCCATGTGTTACTAGGCCCAAAATCTAGTCAGCACGTGAGGAGGCGTGTTGAAGTATAAATACTTAAGCTACACCCTCTCCAACAACTTAAGTTTTTGGACTAGATGGTTGTTTAACTACACATAAAGTAATATCGGGATGGCAATATTTGGATGGTTAGTCACTAAGAGCTACAAGTATGATGCTATTTCTACAATCATAGGCCATAAATGCTGTTGATTATCTTGTTCTGGAATTATGTGGAGGGATTTAAAATTTCTAGTTTATTCATGTCTCATTTTGATAAACAAAGGATGCTCTTTTTCTTGATCAATTAGGTTTTCACCGCTTCCAATATCTGCTGTATCTGGGACTGGAACTGGAGAGCTTCTTGATCTTGTTTGTTCAGGACTTAAAAATTTTGAGGTACTACTTTTTCTATGACAGAAAAAAATGTGAGTTATTTGGTTTCCAGAAATGAGTGCTTCCTTTTGTCGATCACTGTGATTTTCAGCTGTTAGATATTTGATGAAAGTACTCATTGACATGGCTTGTTTATGATCGTCCTTGTTGATGAAAACTTGGGTTGTTCATTAAATGAGTTGATCTTCCAAAGGCACTGGATGCACATAAGTGGAAACATCTGAATTACCAAAGTTTAGTCTTGAATCCAACTATTTGGAGATTTTGGCACTGTGTATTCCAATATGAATTTTATTATCTGGAATTCTAGAGAGAGATATTCTATTGTGCTGTAATACTTACTTTTTGGTTGATTGCTCATTTGTCAATTGGTTGCTCTCTTGTGCTTTGAGCATCATTCATGTGCAGTTTATTTTATTTTTCTTCCAACATGGTACAACAGTTGATGAGGATCGATCCTCATCAACAGTCTTTTCAAAAATAAGGTTATTTTGAGTTACTTTTGCAACCAATCACTTTAAAAGCTTTAGCCATTAAAAAATGTGTGACTTTGTTGTTTTATGCCCTACTCTGGCCCCTCATCTTCAGCCCAGACCAGAGATCAAAATTTTGTTTTGTTTTGGACAAACCAACCGACATGTTTTGGTTTTGTGGAAATAGAAAAGAATTAGTGTATTGAAAATCGAAATTCTCATATTTCAGAATGTTTCAGGATTTTTGGGAATTGAAATTTGAATGTTTCAAAGGAAAAATTCTAAATACTTTCTCTATTTCCGTGGCGATTCCCAAACATTTCCAAGCTGGCCAAAGCTATGCACTTATACAAAATTTTGATCCTTGGGCGACGCTCCTTGATAAGTAAGCAAAACATGTGATGGCTTTTGATTAGAATGGATAGATTCTTTCCATCGATACCTTGTTGATCACATGCTACACTAACAGTGCAGAACACAAGTATTTTGTACCCAGAGTTAAGTTATTCCCACATTCCTTGAAGGGGAGAACTTAAAGAAATGTGGAATTTTCTTCAAAAATGTGTACTGCAAATTACATGATAACATATCTAGAAGTTCATTTTGGTGAAAGTTTGCAAAATGAACCTGAATAAACATGCTTTCTTGACCTGCCATAACAGAGTAACTATCTTGTTAGTTTCTAATTACATTGACCATGCTTTTTGGATCAAGCATCTTTACCCATGTGACATACAACCACCCTAGAGCATTAGTCACCATTGATCAAATAAGGGTGGGTAAAATAGTATTTCATTTATGAGTATGCCCAGGAAGCATAGAGATGCAAGTGGGTCTAGGAGATTGCATGGAAGATATGGATAAATTGGTGTTGGGTTTTAATATAATTAAGAAGGAAAGGAAAAGGGTGTGTGTGTTGGGTTGGGGGGGAGAAAGAATATATAGGAGAGGAAAGATTTCAAACAGATCATAAAAGCAAGAAAAGACAGTTGGGGAATAACTCACCCAAGTAGGGACTCACTCATGTTAGAGAGGAACCACTCAACTCTCAATTCGAGTTTCAAAATACTTTCAAAATGATAATTTTCAGCTGCCAAATATCCCCTCCTCTATTCCCTTCCAAGCGTAATACTATGAACTATAGATAGATACAACTAATTACTACATAGGAAATATCTTTTTTTCTTAAACTACACTTTGACTATGGAAACTTGTATTCCTTGAAACTCACCATCGTAGTAAATACTCCCTGGAAAAAGTCCACCACTATTCGCATACTACATCAATAGCATCAACATACACAATGAGGATAGTACCTAACCTTCAGGTAAATGATGAATTAGCATGGTGTGATCACCTTGACTCTTTGAAATATCCACCCTGTCCCTTTTCTAAATAACTTTCATTACTAAATTTGTCAGCTTATATTCTTGGATGTGAGCTCACAATACGTATGCTTTGTGCTTTCAAAAATTTAAGCCTTATAATTTTTAGTACAGCCTTCGCCAGCATGTCCTCATCTTTCTTGTTTATTTATTTATACTTTTTCAATGCAAAGTTTGATGTAGTGGTTGATGATGCTCTAAGGATACAGAGAATGCTGATGAAGATAAAGATTATGAAAATGAAGAATATGTTCCTGCAGTTGCAATTGTTGGCCGACCAAATGTTGGGAAAAGTAGCATTTTGAATGCTTTAGCTGGAGAGGACAGGACAATTGTTAGTCCAATTAGCGGAACAACCCGTGATGCTATCGACATGGATTTTACTGGACCTGATGGCCAGGTATGATTAGTTTCAGGACACGACACAATGTGTTTCCAGTGTTTGATAGTTAGCTGTTCCTATGCATAATCTGTTATTTTTTCTTGAGTTCACTATTTTGTAAGTTCTTGCACATTTGATCACTTGAGAGGGTCCTCCCCCCCCCCCCTCTTTTTCTCTCCCTTCCTTTTTGGTGGGTGTCCCGGTTGAGGGGACTGACAGGGACCATTAAAGAGGTCCACTAGAGTATTCTATGAACAGATTAAATTATTATGGGGAACTAAATAGTTGGGACCGGATTCAACTTAAAACAGTGCATGTTTGTCAGTTTAGCATCTACTTATAACGTTCACGGGTGGCGCCCCACTTTAGTTTGCTTCTTTATACAATCGTGATAAATGTTACTGATCATTGCTATCTGTATCTCAACAGTTTGCCAGTTTAAGTGCTTGTGATATTGTCCTAGCTTAAAAGTAGGATTTTTATTGCAAAACTAGTTAATAAGTACACAAACCCTTTTCTCATTTAGGCCTGTGAGGGGGCAATTGTCTTCACTTGCTTCCTAGACACAGGTCTTTTTAGTATTCTTGTAGCATCTTCAACTTGAAGCATAGGTAATAATCAGTGCAGTCATCGTATTCTGGACCAAAAGGTTTGACTCTTGTGCATTATCTTCAATTGCTGTTGCATCTAGCTTATGTGGAAGAATTTACTTTGCTCTACCCTTTCTGTATTTTCTCCATTCCATCATTGTGGCCCCATCCTTCTTTTTCTAACATGGAGTTCTGGTTCCTTGGTGTTTAACAATTTCCACCAGTAAGGCATGAGATGATAGCCTTTTTTAATTGTTCTTTGTTTCTGATTTAAAGTATACCAAGTAGCCTGCCCAGGAGTTTGTCTGCTGTGCCACCACCTTTGATCTGTCTCCTCCTGTTTAACAGAATTGTACATTCTTTTTGTCCTTAAACTGCTCACATATATATAGCTTTTAAGTAATAATCTCACATTCCTTCTAAGTTCCCAAAATTTGTTATGGTTTCCTCTAGTTTCCTAAGGATTATGGTTTATTCCTTTTTTAACTGCCTAGTTTTCAGTGTTAAAGGTCATTCTCTAAGCTATTATACTACATGTTTTGTAAGACTAAGCTGATAATGTAGCTTGAGCTGCTTGCTTATGCCCCCATATATGTCTTCAATCTGGGATTTGGGGTTGTTTTACTCTCTTTCAAACAGTAGACTTTTCGACCATTTTTACTTGTGCATAGCCCCCAGAAATTCTTGGATTTCTCGCAATATGAGATTGAATGTCATAACTCTGATTTGTATTTTACTTCTTATTGGGAATGGTCAGATGCTCGTTTCTAATCAATTTGTTGGGTACTAATTGAACTGCTCACTTCTTACTTTTTGGGGTCATTAATCGAAAAATAATGAATATTTGTATGTCATTTGTGATTTATGAAAAATCTAGAATGGTTGCTGATCTCCAGATGTCTTTTTCAAGCTATTGCCAGGATACTATTAGCTGAAACAGTAAATTAAATAGAGTCTGCCTTTTCACTTTTTAACATCTGGTCGAGGCTGTTAGTTTTTGTTTTGTGAAGCACTGTGATGCCTTTATTGATGGATTACTCGATGTTTCTACAGAATAAGGAATTAGGAGACCCATTACAAGTTTCGTGTTTGTTTTTTGGATATTTTGCTGACTCATTTATTATCTTATTTTTCAATTTTCACTGGGTTTTTGTTGACCAATACCGGATATTATGTACTTTGTACTCCACTTGTGTAGACAACAACTCATTTAAAGCATTAGTCAGAGCTCGAATCAATATATTAGACAAAATATGTTTTATTGTTCATGCTTATCTTCCCTTTGCATTTAAAATCCACTTAGAAATTTTACAAATCAGGGATCTCTTTTGCAGAAATTCCGGCTAATTGACACTGCTGGAATCCGAAAAAGGGCAGCCATAGCTTCATCAGGCAGCACTACAGAGGCTTTGTCAGTGAATCGAGCATTTCGCGCCATTCGTCGTTCTGACGTTGTGGCTCTTGTCATTGAGGCCATGGCCTGTATAACAGAACAGGTACTTCCTCTGCTTTTCTGACTTGACTGAGTAGAGGAGTTGAGAGTTTGACCGGAGCAAGATGAGAGACAAACTGAATTATTGGGTCATGGGAGTTTGAGAGGCTGAGGTTGGGAAATGAATGATCTCGTTGAACCTTCACCTGCTTGTGCAACCTCCAAAGCTAAGCCTCGATTCAACTGTAGCCGTTTTGAAAGCCCATTAAATGAAAACTTTTGGTTGAATTCCTCACTGTATCTGCCATATCCACCTCATAAGATTGCAATTGATTTTGGGCTGTATTTGCTCAGAGTTGTATTCATTCTCTTCTTCCAAAATCTTGTGTTTTGGATTTATAGGTTATTCTCATCAGTCATCATTGTTTCATCTGCCCAAATGGTAGAATAACCCGGAATTTTGTGTATTCATACAGTTAATGGGGATCACCCTCAACGTTAGCTTATAAGCTCACTGGCCCAAAAATGTTTGTGTTTTCGTGTTTGTGTGTCTGCCGCATTTGGACATCTATGTTACGTCATTGTCCTTCTCCTTTCCTTACGGGTAAAACTACATTGAAGAACCCAAAGGGCAACCTACACAGTTGAAACTTTTGTTTGGAAGTTTTTTTTTTTTTTTTTGAAGTTGGAGATTTCGTCATTTTGCATTTGCTTCTAACTCATTATCTCCCATATATTTCCAATATGAATCTTGAAAAAAAAAACCATTAGGTGTTCCTTAAAACATTAGTTAGCATAGATTGGACATCTATCCAAAGTGACAAGCCGTGGCAGCAGTTGATGTGTTTAAGACTTAAGAGGAGGCAAGAGTTCTAGTTTTTAGCATATTGATAAAAAGAGTGCAGAGAGAGCATGATGTGTAACAGGATGTTAATAGATTATTGAGAGTTCCATATAACTTGTTGACAAGGATTGAATTGTATTTTGGGCAAATTTGAAAATCAGATATGCAAGTTTTATCGGAAAAGAATAGATAAAACCAAGAATGTGGTAGGACCTATTGCAGTCAAAAACCTAAATGGAGAAAGTGTTGAAAAAAAGAAAGAGAAAAGGAGTGCACTGGTTTGCATAAAAAGAAAAACAAACAGATAGAAGACTTTGAAAGCACAGATAAGAATATAGGACACGAGTACGAAACGATACGGATATGATGATAGGTCACAATTTTAAAATGTAAGATACGAATACGTCTAGGATATGTTTGTATATATATTATAGAGGATGTCATTTCAATACTAGGTGATGTAGATCATAGTAGCTCTAATACCAATTGATGGACACTAGGAAGTGGAAGAATTAGGGAATGAGAAATAGATGAGAAGTGAAGAATAAATGAGATGAAAAGGGAAAAAGGGGTTGAGAAACAGAACTCTAGCGCAAACACAGCCTCAATCATATTCAATAACTCTAGTCTACAAAACAAGAAGTACACTTCCCTATATATAGGGACAATAAGGCCCAATAACAAATACATAATGACAGCTAAGCCTCAAAAGTTAAAAGAAATTATCAAAAAGATAAATACCAAATGATCTCTGAATAACTCTCATAATAAATTTATAATATCTATCCTACTCCAACACGATTTTCATCATTCTCCTCTAATTAAGAAAAACTCTCATCCAAAGAGTCATCAAAGTAAAATTACTGCAAAAGACCTGACAATGGCAAAACTCCACTGCTATAATGGAAGAATCATCAACATGTTTCCACCTAGTTTAATAAAGGCAACAGTCTTCATATACACCAATGAAATTTCGGTAACAATTTCCATCTAAAGTACTGAAATACTAAAAATCTGATCCTGCAGCACATCGTCTATCTGGTCTAGAATATGTGATGAAAGTGAGGAGAGAAGAACTGAAGATGGTGCTGATGAGGAAGCCATCCCAAGTGTAGGTTCACCTGCTAATAACATTGGAGGCTTTGGAATGCTTCGATTAAGTAGCATGTCCTCCAAATAAACATTCGGAATAATACTAACATTCAATAGAAAATTAAGCAAATAAGCATTAGATTCAAATTTAAGAGTAGCAAAACAATTCTCATGTGATTGCAACAAAAAGTATTCGGTGGGACAAGAAATCAATGACAAATGAAAGGCCGAAAATTCAAATGTGTTTTTTTGTATGTGTGATTTTATAAATGTGTGGGATTCTATAAATATGTGTGCTATTTTTAATTAGTAAATATTCTTTTTGAGTGTGTGCTTTTGTAAATAAGTGTGTTAGTTACTTATTTTTAATTAGTATAGATTTTTTTAAAATATATATTTCAATTTCTAGGGTAGTTATTGCATTTAAATCATAAAACCAAAAATTCCAGCAAGGAGAAGTTGAAGGCAGAAAATCCAGAAAAACAGCACCATCCAGACGCCCCTTGCACCATCTGGACGCCCAGACGCGACTATAAAAACTGTCAGTTCGTTGGATTCTACCTCCTTTTCTGCAACCCTAGCCCCTCAAAATACCTCTCCTTCCATAGATCTTCACTACCCATCACTTTAATTGGATTCTAGCTTGATTAAATGGCAAATCTAGCAACTTAGGCTTGATTTTACTCCTCAAAAGCTAAATCAAAACCCTCATTGCATCTTAAATCTTCAAAACAAATGGGACCAAAGAAAAAGTCCATTGCTTGGAAATCTCAAGCAAGCTTGCAAAGTGAGGCATCTCCACTATCTCAAGAAGCTTCGGGGCAACAAGATTTAAGTGGGCAAGTCCCATATCCACAGGTCCACTCTGAATTCGAATATGATGTTTTTGAAAATCTTGAGCAACAGTTATGGTATAAACGTTATTTTGATTCTAAAGTTATTATTAATGAACGGGTTATTATCTTCGAAGACTTCGAATACTTGGGTATTAAGATTTGGAAAAAAAGGGTTGTACTAGCTATATGAGAACTGTGGGTATTGGTTTTGAATGTATTGTGAGAGAGTTCTATAGCAATGTTGAGATTACTAGGTCTAGGAAGTTTAAAACGTATGTAAGGGGAGTTAGGTTTCAAGTAGGTGTGGGTACCATTGTTGATCAACTTAAGTTTATAAGGAGAGAAGGAGAAAATTGACTAATGACCTAAATTTTGTGTGGGGTAAGAGGGGAAAATATATCAAATAAGGGGATTTGACCGACAAATACCGAATTTTGAATTTGTTTACTGTTTCTAATCTCATGCCTCAATCCCAAAAAAATCAAGTTTATACTGAAAGGGCTAAGTTGCTCTTTTCCTTTGGTGTTGGTCATTCTATCGATTTGTCAAATTTGATAATGGAACAGATGACATTGGTAATTCAAACAAGAAACCCTCACTTCCGCTTGATATTTTGGTAACTAACATATGTAAAAGCAACGGAATTTTGATGGATCCTACCTGGCCGAAGAATTGACACATCTTGATGCTACATCCCTAAAGGAGAGCCATGGAGTGCAAGGAGGGCAACCGAAAGGCCAGCAAGCAAATCAAGGAGGAGGCAATGAGGAGGAAGCACAGGACTTTGAGCAGCAGGATGAGCAGGCACCACCGTCCGGACGCCCATCACCACCACAAGATTCACTGATAGAAGGCTGCAAAATAAGGAGGCTGACAGACAGAGACAGGTGTCCGAATGTCTGCCACCACCGTCCGGATGCCCACGTCGAAAGTTGGAATTTGTGTTCACACCTTAAGCTCTGGATTTTGAGTTTTTTTTTGCCGCCCGAATGTTTGGGAATCTCGTGGCTCCTTGCACTTCGGGTTTTGAGTTCCTTCCGTCTGGCGGATTTTGAGTTATTGAATATTGTTACCAGGAATTTGGCACAGCTAAAATGACAAACTGAAAAGTCATTGTCAAATTTGGTCGCATTGGGAGGAGTGGTCAGTCTACAAATGTAGTTTTACTAGTTATGTGCACAAAGTGGTTGCTCCTACATGTAAACCCACAATCTCAAGGTTGCACACCTCATTTTGTAATCACTGCACTAGGCAGTGACATACTCTAAATTTGTTAGAAATTTTTTCTTTAGGATGCTTGGTTTTTATTGGCTTCAGATCTTGTGAGGGAAGACTTAGAAGAGTTGTGCGAAAATTTTCCATTGGTGCAGTCATCTTTTCCATATATTTGACCTTTGGTACTGCATCTTCATAAATGTTATAAACTTATGAAGAATAGATATGGTTTTTTTTTATTGCTAACTACATTTAGGATCATGGTTCAAAGTCGCGGTATGGGTCATCGACTCGGAGGGTGCTGATACATATCGGTCACGGCATCGCGGAGCGGTATCGGCCGATACGCTCAAAACGCAAGATTGAAGCTCCAAAAAAATTTGAAAAAATTATAGAAAATTCTAAAAATATAGACATCATTATTCATACATCATATGTCCACAATACATCAAAAAACACATTAAACATAATTAAAATGAAACATAAAATCGGTACCGAAAATAATTATCATTATCAATGTTGGAGAGGAGTCGAACCAGTGACTAGCAACTTAGCCCTTAGCAACTCCACCCAATTGAACTACCACTTTTATGTTACTTTTAAGACAAATATAAATATATAAACACATAATGTAATTGTAACTAATATAATGTAAAACAACATGTTGGAGCCTTAGAGGAGTCGAACCAGTGACCTGCACCTAAGTACTTAGCAATTCCACCCAATTGAACTACCACTTTTATGTTACCTTTAAGACAAATTTAAATATATAAACACTCAGTTCAAAAAAAAAAAAAAGACAGACAACTTTTAAAGAGTTTTTAATTCCTTTCCCTATCCACTTTACCTCGTCGGTTCAGAGCTCTTCAGACGATTTCACTTCTCACTTCTCATTTCTCAGTCACAACAACAGAAAGAGAAAGAAAGGTGCAGATGGAGAGACGACCACGATCCCTGACCGACAGAGATCGAAGAAGATCGTCTCAACAAAAACTCGAGCAAGATCGTCTCAACAAAGAATCGAACAATACAAGACCAAATGAAGAAGAACAACAATACAGATATGTCGAATGACTCGAATCCTTAGTATTCTTAGTTTTTATAGGGGTTTGCTGCTTCAAGATTCATGTGATTTCAGAAATTTTCACATGGGTTTACTGATAGTGGGTCTGCTGGTTTGCTTTATTTCCCATCTCTTTTTTTTTTTTTTTTTTGGATTTTTGTTCAAATTTTAGAAAAATGATTGAGAGTTTTAAGCTTTTACAGAGGTGTGGGTGACACGGGTGTTAGACTTTTTCGAAGATATGGGGGGATTTGCTCTTTTTCGCAGATATGGGTGGATTTTTTCACTATCGTGTTCGACTCTAAAAGATTCCGATAGGAGTCATCCGAGTTGAACCGATGTATCACCGACACTATTGATTTCGGTCGAGACGTCCGATATCTCGCCGATATATCGTCGATATTAGTAAAAATCGTCAATCTTGCAATTCGTGTATCGTTATCGTATCGGACTCGGCCGATACCTTGAACCATGTTTAGGATTTCAAGCTAGCATTCTAATGGAAAAGTTAACATAAAAACCAAACTACCGGAAAAGTAACACATGTTGTGCTGCTGACAATATGCCACTGCCTAGAAGCTCTATCCTCTAGTTGTTATGTTAGTTGGGTTTTTTTTAGTTTTCATCTGAAATGCTCTTGAAAGCTGCACAAACTATTTGTGTAATTTCTAAAACTCTATGGTTTGGTTGTTTTCGAAAATTACTCGACTCAACAAAGCCTTTATCCTAACTATTTGGGGTCTGATAGATGAATACTATTTCTCCATTGTACTCTATCAAGGACCATATTCTCCTTTAAACCACGGATTATCGTATCTTTTTTACTATCTCGTTCAAAGTTATTTTGGCCCACTACTTTTTTTATTTTTTATTTTTTTACTTTGGCCTACCTCTACCTCTCCCATTATAGTCAATATGTATAAAACAATTCTTTCTTAATGGTGCAGTACTAGGTCTTCTATAAACATGTCCAAACAACCTAAGTCGATTCTCTCTTAATTATCACTTATTGGTGATAATTCTACAATTTCACTAAGGGTTCGTTTGTTTAGCAAGAAAATGTTAGAAAATACAAGAGAAAATTTTAAAATTTTACATGCGTTTGTTTAGCATAAAATAGAAAATGATAGAAAATATAATTTTCTCTCATATTTAGATTTTTTCACATCTAACTAACTTTTTTTTCTTGCAAAAAATACAAGAAAAAACAAGAAAGTTGTATTCAATAACTTAACTTCCCGTTTTACCCTTATTTTTCTTAAAATATTCAATTAGTTATTAATTTTAAAAAAATGTGTACAAATTAGGCTAATCATATAATTTGGTCTAGAGATTAAGATTCGAGTTGATTTTTGTTCCTAAATTAGGTTAGGAGCCAATTTTTTTTAAATTTGAATAATAAAAAATATGTTTTTCTTCTTTAGACCAAATTAAAATACTTAAGGATAATTTAGACAATTAGAAAAATTTTCTTATAACTTTACTTTTCTTCAAACAATGGAATGAGAATGTTTTAAAATTTTCTTATAAGTTTTTCATGTTAACCAAATACATGCATGAAAATATATTTTCTTTCACTTTCTTTTCTTTCAGTTCACTTTCTACCTCTTTCACTTTCCATCATCTTTTTCTTGCTAACCAAACGGACCCTAATGTATTCACCCTAACTATCCTTTCTAGTTTACCACACATTTGTTAATATCCTTGTCTCTGCAACACTTAATTTTTGAGCGTGGTGTTTTTTATTGCCTAACATTCTATACCATAATGCATTGTTGGACTGAGTGGAGGAATGTATTTGATGTATTACGTGATCAACTCTATTTGAAACCTTTGCCATGCCGGCCATAGAATTTTTCTTCCATCGGTTATAGTAATAATAAATGAAGAACGTAAAGGTGAATGATCCCAAATAAACATTTTAAGCAATTCTCTCTTCACCCTCTCCACTCCCCTTTCAAATGTAGCATTGTTGTTCTTGGGCATTTATTCCATTTATTTTCTCCCTTGCAATTATCTAAGTCACTCAACTTGTATTGTGTTGCCTGAGGTTCATAGGATTTCAAGATTGCTGAAAGGATAGAAAGAGAAGGGAAAGGTTGCCTGATTGTTGTAAACAAGTGGGACACCATACCAAATAAAAACCAGGAAACTGCGACGTACTATGAGCAAGATGTCAGGGAGAAGCTTCGCATTCTGAATTGGGCTCCAATTGTATATTCCACAGCAATAGCAGGGCATAATGTTGAAAAGTATGTTTGTAACCGAATATCTTCATCTTCTATTTCTTACAGTTCTTTGCATTATTTACCAATTTATCATCATGTTTGAAATCACTGTCTGCTGCAGCATCACTGCTAACATGTGACTTTTTTTATATGGTCTTATGGGATTGTTGTAATATCTTCACTGACTTTGTATCTATTCAATTGCAATTTCAATAGCATACTTATGTCTGAAAATGAACTCAATAACACATACACCAGTGACTTTAATTGCAAAGCCTAACGTTTTTAGCATATTCTTTCAATGCTGCAGACTTTTTAACCTCCATCTAAGATTGTGTTGATTTATTTGGTCCAGAATCATTGTTGCTGCTAGTGTGGTTGAAAAAGAGAGATCAAGAAGGCTCACTACATCCATATTAAATCAAGTAATACAGGAGTCACTTGCTTTTAAGGCACCTCCAAGAACCAGAGGCGGGAAGAGAGGACGCGTTTATTATTGCACTCAGGTATACGCGCAACATTAGATATTCTTGTAAAGAGAGTTTGTATCCTACATCGAATAATTAGGGTCACCCACGGTTGGTTTATATGCTTAAGGGGCCTCTGCACTCATTGTCAATTGGTTGAGTCAGATGCTCTAACATGGTATCAGAGCTGGGCCTTGGGTGATCAATGAGTCAAGTCTCTTACCCACTAAAATTTCTCCAGTATACATAGTTATCTGTTTGTTTGTTAGCCCCATGTGCAAGCCTGAGTCCCACGTGGGGAGGGTGTAAAGAGAGTTTGTATCGCACATCAAATGAGTAGGACCACCCCAAATTGATTTATATGCTTGAGGGTTACTTACACTCATTGCTAATTGGTTTTGGTTTGGATGCTCTAACATGGTATCCAAGCTGAGCCTTGAGTGATCAATGAGCCATGTTTCTTATCCATTTGAATTTCTCGATATGTATGTTTATCTGTTTATTTGTTAGCCCCACGTGTAAGCCTTGGGTCCCACATGAGGGAGGGTGTAAATAGAGCTTGTATTGCATATTGAATAATTAGGGTCACCTACCATTGGTTAATATGCTTAAAGGGGTCTTTTTGCTCATTTTCAATTAGTTTTGAGTTGGATGGTCAAACAATTCTAATTCTTTGATTCTAAGAAGCTTTATGATGTATATCTTTGACAATAGATATTGATGTCCTGCAGTAATGAAGACATTCATGTTCAGTTTTGCTGTGGCCTGTGAATTGAAGGCATACATACTTATTGTGCAAGTTTATATCACCAAGTATTTGATGGGAATTGAACTAGGGGTTCTCCTAGCTTTTAAGTTCTTAAATTTTTTTCTAAAACAATTTTAAATGCATTTTTGAATTAGTGTGTCTTACAGCTTATGTGACATTGAAGCCAGATTACAACCTACATTTTCATGCTTGATGACAAGCTTTTACAATTGAGTTACATGTAATTTACTGCTTCAGTTTGGTATTTTGTTGTGTAAATAAACATGAAATTCATTTTCACATTCCATCGAAACTAACCATTAATTCTTTTCAATATGGACATGCAACTTGGTGGCCTATTTTTCAGTCTCCGGAAACTTACATTTAATGATTTATTCAATATTGAAAAATGCTGCCACTGTGTACCTGTCGCTAATTATCTTGCAGGCAGCTATTAGGCCACCCACGTTTGTTTTCTTTGTAAATGATGCGAAACTTTTCCCTGAGACATACCGGCGATTTATGGAAAAGCAACTGAGATCAGATGCAGGATTCTCTGGCACGCCAATTCGGCTTCTATGGCGCAGCAGAAGGAAAATGGAAAAAAATGATGGTAAGTGAAAAAGGAATTATTTTACCTTCTTCCATCTTGATGTTTGTTTTGGGGACACACCAGGTGACATGTCATTGCATGGAATCCATTTATTGAAAGGTAGCAATCACGTTACCACTTCTTTTGAGGCCAAGTAGTGGGCCTTCTGAATCTTTTAGCTGTATACATTTATTTTCCTGATTACATTTAAATGGGATAGTTTATTCTGTTTTGTTGATGTTCATGCATGAGAGCAAAGAAAATTAGTCATTTTCCATTATGAATGCCTTGAGCATATAGTTACAATTCTATGATCCATTTATTTTCAGGCGGGGTTAATGCGATGAAGGCACAATTGAATCTCACCCCAAGCGATAGACAGGTGGCTGCAGCTACATAAATTTGTTTTCTTTTCATCTAAAAATCAGCTAGGATTTTGGAGGTTCGTTTTGGAAAAATCTTCGCAGAAGTACTAAAACAAAACCATCATTGGGGAAGTTGTGACCGTCAATCTTGAAGAATAATCAAGCAAGGTGGTGCTGTTTGTTGTGGAATGTAATTTAATAGCTTCTTTCCTTTGGTCTTGCCTGGTACTAGTTTGAGCCCTGGCAAGCAGCCAAATTTATGTCTTGTATTTTACGGTGACAATTATGTGTTCAGCACTGAGGCACATTATTCATTAGATTAAATAATACTTGGTTGGATGTATATTTATGTTCAAATAGTGATACCCATCATTTAGAGAATGAGCTTTGTCTCCTTATGTGCTACTCACTTAATAATTGGGTCATGAGAGACCAAAAAAAAAAAATCTGGTTATAGAGTTGGGCTAGAAGCAATACTTGTTTTCAGGTTAGAAAGAGACCAAGCTTATAAGCCCACGTGACAAACTCATTATTTAATAAGAATTTGTTACGATTGATATGTCAATGACTCAATATTAGGTCAAGGAAGAAAAGCTCCCCATGTCAAGTTTACAGGCCAACGGACAGTACCATCAAATCATTATTTGAAAATACATATCTAATTGCAACCAATCAAACAAAATAGAATATATCTTCTTTTTTTTTTAAAAAAAGGAAAAATTTTCAACACATACAGGTTTCATGTCTCGTAACTCAGTTAATGATTAGATTCTTCTCATCAAGTAACATGTGATTGACTCGTCGCATGGATAAGGAACCAGCATGAACAGTATGTGTGTATGTAATATTGAACAATTGGAGATAATTCATCATCGATTTGCGTGTAGTGATGAAATGTGTTCATCCGCATTAACCTTTGCATTTTTTTGGTGATTATGCAACGCCACTTATTCACTTAACCGGCTACATCTCAAACAGGTATCATTTTTATTTACTTGTAACCATGACCACCATCTGTACTTTCTATTATCATTTTTATTTACTTATGTCTTGCAGAAATTATATTATCATTAGTTTTATATATAACTCAGTTATTTCGGTGGATCATATTGATATGTCGTTTCCTTCCCACAATAAACTAATGTGAAACCTAATGGAGAATCATCTCTCACATAAAAAGATAAATTTAAGAGCGCCCCTAATTGGACATAAAATATTAAATTTCAAGAATATTCAGTGTATCGACATTTGACATCCCAAATGAATTGATAAGGTGCGACATGGCAGAATCTAAAGAAATGTGGGAGATGATCAGTCACAGACATATTTAAAAATAAAAAACTAACAAACTATAAGTTAACAGTTAGTAACCATCAAAAAGAACAAAAATGTTAAAAACAATGACTATAAAAAGGATATAGTGGAGAAGAAGAAGATACACTTAACACCTTCCACCCCAAAAGACTCACAATCTGGGAATTATGAGGAGTAATTTTAGGAGACAGCTAGTGTTGTAATCAAGATTGTTTATTCATTTTTTTTAACGGAATTTCTTTTGATTGAATTAATAAATGAATTCTCTTTTATTAGTTCTTTGCACAATGTGATTGTTCATGATTGTTTCAACCAAGAAAGTCCTAAATTAATGAATTTTAAATTCTTTACAAATAGTCACTTAAAACCTATCTATCCATTGAAATATCTCTATTGATTCCAGGAGATTTTGGAGCAATAACTCCCAAGGAATAAAAACAGTCGTTGGATATTTGAATTTTGACTGTATGGTCTGTCACTCTTTGGACAACTAAATGCCTGTTTGCTTATTGGTGCTGTGTTAAGGGACAGCAGGGGTGTGTTTTTTGGCTGGGATGGCAAGAAAGTATATGCGCAAGTAACCTCGCTTATTTAGCAAGTTCGAAGCCACTCTATTCCCATTCATTAGTTATTCACACTGTTCAAATTTGCATCCATGTGATCCCTTTGTACATCAGAACTTATGGCCACAACAGACTTCAGAAAATGAATGCAATCCCCTTCCAACACTACAGACACTGTCCCTTGGAGGCGAACAAAATTTACCGCTTCTTGCATAGCTATGGCCGTCCACGCTCCAAACCTCTTCCCTGCGCATATGCTTTCTTGCCATCCCAGCCAAAAAAACACCCCTGATGTCCCTTAACACAGCACCAATACCCACCGTCTGCCCTTCCAAAAACTCAAGATCACAAAAATTAACCTTAACTACCCCATCAATAGGAGGCTTCCACGATGCAAGAATTGAAGCAGCTGACCTTGGATGCCATTAGCGTGTTGGAATTGTTCCAAAAAAACTCTGGCTTCTTGGTCGATAATTGCCGGGTTCTTAGATAACCCCGAATGTATCATCTCATTCCTATGCTTCCAAATTAACCAACACTGAACAAAAAATAAAGCAAACTCAGCAGGCCCCAAAAAAGAGTGTATATCCCTTATCCATTGTTCCACAACTACGGCACACATCACACAAATTATTTTCCTTCACCATAAGTTCTCATTTGTAGGCAGAGCCTCCAAACAAAACCGCTAAATAAAAACCTTAATTTTATTTGGGATCCTTTGCTTCCATAAAAAATCCCAACTCGTTTCTCCAGCATTTGATGGCACTGCCTGGTCAGTTCGCTGAGCATTAGCCAAACTTTGCTGCATTGTGACATAGTAAACACTTTTGACAGTAAATATACCCCTCTGATTATAATTTCAGATCAGTGTATCTTCCGCTACGGGATGACCAGTGGTATGGCTTTGATAGCAGAGGCTTCATGAGGAAGAAAAAATTCTGGAGTGTTTTGGCATTGGTACCCATCGATGTCCCCAAATCTTTGTCCTTTTCCCATTTCCTATTTTCCATCTGGACCCCGCTCGCAGCTATAACCTTACGAGCATGGCCAAACTTAACGGCCTCCAAATGTCACTCACTCTTTTTTCTATCTTTAAACATCAGGTGAGGTGATTGATGGTGAAGTGAGCAATTAGAAAACGAAAGCACATGTGTTTCTCTCTCTAACGTATTCCTTTCTCTTTCTCTTTCTCCACTCTATGCTACTTTCTTTATGCAATTGCCTCAAAAAGGAAAATCCTTTGGAAACACATGGGAAAAAGAAAACAAAGTGACACCAATTACTTTCTTTATTTTGGGCAAATAATACTTTCATTTTTGACTCTGACCTTGATCTACTTTCTTTATTAAATTATTAATTTTTTATCAATTCAATTATAATTATTGATTTCACATTATTTAAAAAATAAACGATTGTCTTCGTTTTACTATTTACCATAAAGATTATTCACCCTTTAATAATAAGCGATCTATTTATATATAATAAATTTCACTTGAATCTACAATAGATGATTTATTCGGGAAAAAAAATGACAACAAAAAAATGTATTGGTTGGAATTTCAATCATGGACACTTGGGGACAGTCAATTTTTTTTGGGGTAGAGATACAGTTTTCACGATTAAGTATTTAGGCATGAGTGCTTAAAAATAAATATGGCCCATTAGCATAAACCATCCCATGGACCCGATTGCTTTCAGGTTCTAGGCTTAGGTGGTGTACGATAAATATGAAAGTTGAAAGTTAAATGCTGAATTTGTGGACTAATTGGTACCCATTGAAATTTAAGTATTAAATTAAACTAAATTGTTTGATAATTACACAAAATTGACGTCTAAAAATTAATTAATTTTCAGTTTTATCCTTCTAATAATGAACAATTACTAATAAATAATTGAATAACAATAATAAATTGAATAACACAATAATTGAATAATAATATCTGATCCAAAAAAAATAATAATAATAATAAATAATCGAATCAATCATCAAGGCAACAATAGTTGCAGTTACAAATTGAGAAACCTGATAATTAAAACAGTGACCATATCATATGTAATAGGATCGAAGAAGAAAGTTCTATCTTTTTAATAAGAATCATCCTAGTCATGCATATTTTAGATTAATGCATGCAACTGTAAATAACCTTGTCGAAAAATAAATTAAATCAATTAAATCCAAATTTTATAGGATGAGTGAGCCTCAAATTAGGGACGTGCCAATATCTGCATCATCACTTAATTGTTTGATCATCAAACTAATAGGTGTGAATTACTCTATCCGTTTTTAAATATCCGTCGTTTTACACAATTTTTTTTGTTCCATAATATCTGTTATTTTATGAAACTAAAACATAATTAATATTTTTTTTCTAAATTTAAGATTAACTTTTTAATGCATTAGATTAGGTGGAGGTTAAGTATTTTTCATATTTCTTTTCTTCTCAATACGTATTGAATAAAAATATTTTAGTCTTGTATAATTATTTTTAATTCACATTAAAATTATTTAATAGTTTCTTTAATTCTTATATAAAAATCTTAGACGTTGTATATTTAAAAATTGAATGAGTAAATAATTGTTGTGGACCAACTCCTTATTTATGTGAATAATTCGGGAATCCTAAATCAAATCAATTGGCAATTATTACGACAAGAGAAAAGCTGAGGAAGTTAGTTGCAGACAGAAAGTTTGTACAACTTGTTATCTACTATGATCAGGTTGTGTCAGTATGAAGCGTGCCCTCCTTTATGGCCTGTGTTCATACATACATTCTTCCATAGATAAGGAGAGGAAATTATCGTTTCAACGAGGGTGGAGCGAAGAATTTTATTGAAGGTGGATACTTTAATTATGTATTTAATTTTTTTTTTAATCAATTACATTATATAATATATTAATATTTATTATATTATATTTGATATATAAAATCTATTTAACATAAAAATTTCCAAAAAAAAATTATAAATTATCAAGGGCGGAGCCATGAATATCTATGACAGAGACAAAATATAATTGGTATAAAAAAATATTAAACCGAAATTAATACAAAAAAATTCAATTCAAGAATAAAAAAATAAGAATCAACACTAAATTATTGTGAAATAATAAATTTAATTTTTATTTAGTCGAAACAAAATCTTAACAAAAAGACACAAAA